GAGTGTAGGACATCATGCTTCGAGTGGGATTTCGTCGTTCAGCATGTTGCATCCAAGGTGCTTCATGCCTGCGCAGAGCGCATGTAGGGTTAAGGGTCTCGAGAGTCTCAATTTTCAACTTGTTTGGGGCTCCGTATTGAAGTGCACCATGAAGCTTGCTGCTTACAAGCTGTAAGCTAGCACATCTTGTCATGCACATTAATTGCAAAGGTTCCGATACTTGACATGACACTTACTCAAATTAAAGGGCTTGCTTGCAAAAGAAGCCACAAGCTGAAAGGACAAGTGCAGATGCTAGGCTTCTGAGGATGAATGAAGGGGGTGATTTGGGGGGGGTCCCTAAACCCTAAACCTCCTAAACCCCCTAAGCCATAAACCCCCGGGGGGTCTCCTTATTATATGACTGCGTGACCAGGACTAAGGGCGCCATCATCTCGGAGGGGTGATTCGGGAACCTAGGGCTATCCGAAGCGAAATCTCAGAGAGTTAAATTAGAAGAATCCCCACTTCCCACGTAAGGTCTTGGGGTATTTTGTGGGTTATATGAGTCATATGAGGGTCTGAGGGAGTATACCGAAACAGTGGTGCGAATTATACCGACTCAAAATTAGTCTGCAATGTATGCCGGCCCAACTTCCAAGGACAAGGTCTCCTGTTGGGAAGTGGCTACCGCGATCTTGGCGCGCCAACATCGACAAAGGCTCCTGGTTCAGGGTTTCGTGATCAGTCTGAGTTCGGGGTTTTGGACCTATGGCCAGGTTTCTTGGCGAGCGTTCGATGCAAAACTTGATTTCTTGTGGCAAATGGCCTTACTTCATCTGAGCGGGCATGCCCTAAACCTTCAAGCCCAACCAGAACACTCACAAGACTTGACTTTAGTGACGACCTTCCGGGACTGCCCAAAGGTCGGAGGCCTATAGGGTGTTGTTGTTTTGTTGGCGAGGCATCTTACTCGGAATGTGCCGGGTGTTCTTCGCGTAGAGTGTAATATAGAAGCCAAAATATTTACCTCTAGTATTTTGGGGGTCTCCTTATTATTATTGTAGTATAAATATACTCCAAAACCGTCTTCTAATTATTAAGGCACCTAAAATTACAGTGTTCGGGATGGGGGCACTGAGGGGCAGGGGTTACAGCTGACTGTTTCCCAAGACCCAGAGTTGATGGAATGGCTCGGTTTAGAGTTCAAGGTTTAGGGTTTTGGGTTTAGGGCTTTGGGTTTAGGGTAGGCTTCAGGGTTTAGGGTTTAGGGTCTTCTCTGCGTTCCCAGAGCTTCCAATATCCTGCAGTTACCGAATACTCCTGAAGTCATAAAGATAAGTAAGTCACCACCGTGGGGATAAGAAAGGTGTTTGCCGAGGATGGTAAGCTAAATCAGATCCTGAACCTGGGTCGTAAACCTGAAGCCTAAACCCTAAACCTTATGTGGCATAATCCAGATACCAGGCTAGTCGCCGACCACATGGCTTACGAGCTTGCGATTATCTCCAGATTGCCCTGAGCTCAAAGGGCTTCTCGGGGTGTTCCAGTTGAGATTGTTTCGACTTTCTGTCACGAGGGTTTTATGCCGTGGAATATTGAATTGCTTTTCATTCCTGCTAGAGTACGAACCATTATGAACACCAAAACCCTAAACCCCAAAGCCCCTAAACCCGAACGGATATGAAAGACAGCAAATTCAGCTTTGGGTCATCGGCACCTCTCGGCCCAGAGTATCAGATGCACAGAGCAAAGGGGCCCTAATATAGACCCCAAATGATAGGATCCGCCATGTAAAGACCCTAAACTGAAACCCTAAACCCTAAGTTTTGACAACGCCCAAGTCTGATTCCTTCTGAGCATCCCCGTGTTGAATTTTTAAAGAAAGTACCAAATCAACGCCAAGACCGAGAGGAAGGCTGTTAGGTCGACAAGGTGTGCCATGTCGGAATTTCTAGCAGCCGTTTGATTCTATAAGACCTTCCATAAGGGTTTCTACATGGGTTATTATGACGGTTGCGAAGAGGGCTTCGCAGCCTAACGCGAAACCCTAACCCCTAAACCCACACGGCTTGTGAGCGTGTGTTCCCCCTGTACCAGTGCGGCTCCTTTCCGGGGCGAGCCATCTGCGGATGGAAAGAGCGGGCCCACTGCATTTCTGAAACAACCTAAACCCTAAACCCTACACTGTAACCTCCGGAAGCCACAGTCCCTAAACCCTACACCCTAACCTCCGGAAACCACAGTCTCACGAAGATGTACGGTCCTGGAAGAGGTCTGCGACACGAACCGAAGGATGTCTTGAGGAGAGCATCCTGGATCCACCCCCACAGCTAGCTATGCTTTGAGAATGTACCAATGCACAACTGAGGTGTGTTATGATTGCTATAGAACCTTAAGAAGGCTTATATGGAGTTTAAGGTTTAGGGCTTCCATCAACACTGTAGTGAACCTAGGAAAGTCAATAGTTTCGATCGGAGGTGAAACCAGGAGACCTCAAACCTCGAACCCTCTACACCCTAAACCCTAAACCCCTAAACCCTAAACTAGACCCAGATCCGAGATTCAATGATTGCTCCAACCCGAAATAGTTGAACCGCTTACCGAGGAGACAAAGCCACGCATGTATGCCTGAATTCGTGTTGGTTTCCCCATGGCATACGCTAAGAGTCATACCGAGCTATTCAAGTAAACAAGCCTTGCAACCTTGAACAAAGCACACACACACACACACGCATGTATACACATACACACACACATATATATATATATATATATGTGTGTGTATACACACACGCACACTTGTATGCACACAAAAAACATGTGGCTGCGGTGAGTACATGCATGCATGTATGCATGCATGCATATTTGCATAGTTACCTGCTTATACATAGTCTTACATACATACATACATACATACATACATACATACAGACAGACAGACAGACAGACAGACAGGCATACAGACATACATGCATACATGCATACGCATACATACACACGCACACACATGCATACACATACATACATACATACATACATACATACATACATACATACATACATACGTACATACAAACATACATACATAGCATCCATGCATCCATACATAACACCCTAAACCCTAAACCCCCATCATCCATCCATGCATGCATCACGAGCTCCCCCGAGGTCGAGCAACCTTCGCCCTGAGGGGGAGTAGGGCTTCAGGTTTACGGTTTACAGGTTAAGGGTTTTGGGATTTCGGGCCGGGCAGTAGAAGTACAGAGTACAGCTAGTGCGAGCCTTGGCATCAAAGGCCTTGGTAGAGGGAAAAGCCTTGCGGGCGGATTAGGCTTTAGACTGGTCACGTGAGGCGTTGAACTTGGAGCAACCCTGTACATACTCATGCCAGCGGCGGCGCTGGCAAAAGGCTTGCCCAAGCGAGCAAGAGCCAGGCAGTGGCGAAGGATCTCGTTTATCCAAGGCTTTGAAGCGTCCTTCGATGCATCAAATGAGATTGCGCAGGCTTATATCCCCAAGACTTCAAACGCTGTGGTGGACATCGCACATGTGTCGCCGCAGCCTTAACTCGGAGAGCCCTAGCCCAGCCACCGGCCCTCGCGCAGGAAGTGTCCGGAGATTTTAGGTTTCAACTGCAGACTCACGACAAGAATGTCTGCACCGTTCCAAGAAAGCTCCATTCAACCTTGCATGATGGACCCTACCCTTCACAGTGTTGATCCGCAATGTGGAAGGCCTACAGCGTAGAAGGTTTTGGTTGATGGGGTAGCTGGATCTTCCAATATACCTTGACGGGCCTGGAAGGCTGGATCTAGGACATTTTCAAGTGGGTAGTTACCGTTATAGGAGCCTTATTTGAAGGTCTATACACCTTATGGAAGTCTAATAGAAGCCCTATATACCCTAAACTCCCCACCGGTAGTTTCCTTTAGCTGGAAGCCCAACGCACTGATCCCCAAGAGCCCTGGACCCTAAACGTTTAAAGCCCTAGCCTGCAAGCGTTGGGGAAAATGGGTTTAGGGTTTAGGGTTTAGGGGTTTAGGGTTTAGGGTTTAGGGGTTTAGGTGTTTAGGATTTAGGGGTCATGATGATAGAGTTGATTGGAGCTTCCGCCGTTCGTGTGGGTCGCTTCCGGCCGGCATTTAAGGCAAAAACGAAGGGATTTTCATGCTGAGGGTATGGGGCTTAAGCCCTATAAACCCTGAGCCCTAAACCGTTTAGGGTTGGGGCCTGGCAGGGAACACCAGATCCGCAACTCTGTTGCACTTGACGTCTGAAATCGCGACCAGTCAAGCTCATATAATATCATCTGATATCCAGTTTAAGGGTTTAGGGCTCAGGGTTTATAGGGCTTAAGCCCCATACCCTTTAATATCCTTTGATATCCAGTTTAAGCTCAGTGGCCCAAGAATCGCACACGTCCCTGGAAGGTCGTAAGTTCGGGCGCTAGGGCCTTGAACAAATGCTAAACCTCGAGCTCCAAAAACCCTTAAGCATGCTAGTCAAGTGATACGGCTGATGATATTAATCCTAGAGTGACTGAAGGACCCTAAACTATGGGAGTTATGGTATATTCCTTATTATGGGTATAGCAAAGTTTATATCATAGTTAGAATAGGCTTTGGGGGCCCATTATACCATACTTATAATAAGGAACCCCTCAGAATAGTATTGCTAATTATGTAGGCCCCCCCTACATTATGAGATTCTGGAAAATCCAAGTCATCAACCGTATGTTACTTCAAGTGATCCCTAAACCCTATTGAACCCTAAAGTCTAAGCCCCCGAAAAATACCCCCAGGTATGTTAGTCAAGTGATAGAACCCCTAAACCCTAAACCCTAATGAGCACCTAAACCCTTAACCCCAAAGTATGTTAGTCAAGTGATAGAACCCCTAAACCCTAAGCCCTAAAACCCTAAACCCTAAACCCTAAAGCCTATACCCTAAAACCCTAAACCCTAAACCCTAAACCCAAAAGTATGTCAGTCAAGTGATGGACTGCCTGCGTTTGCAGAGGAGCTCCCTGGGCTGGACTTCAAGACCTTCGACCCTTCCCCTCTTGGGAATTCTGTTTTACTTTGTTTCTTTAGGGGTTTAGGGTTCAGAGTTTAGGGTTCAGGGTTTAGGGTTATATTCTAATAATGAGAACCAGAATAAAGATGTAATCTTGAGATATACTTATATGGGAGTTCTGTTTTGTTTTTTCTTGGGGGTGCAGGGTTTAGGGTATGTTATGCTTATAATATATCCTTAGGGGTTTAGGGTTTAGGGCTTATTACTCTTATACTATATCTTCAGGATTTTATGTTTCTTAGGGGTTTAGGGTTTAGGGTTTGGGGTTTATTATTCTTATGCTATATCTTCGGGGTTTTATGTTTCTTTGGGGTTTAGGGTTTAGGGTGTGGGGTTTGTTATTCTTATACTATATCTTCAGGATTTTATTTTTCTTAGGGGTCTAGGGTTCAGGGCTTATTATTCTTATACGATATCTCCCGGAGAATTTCCCTAAGCCCTAAACCCTAAACCCTAATATTCTGGTTCTAACGGCGGTATATCTCTGGGGTTTAGGGTTTGGGGTTTATTATTCTAATATTCTGGTTCTAACGGCGGTATATCTCTGGGGTTTAGGGTTTGGGGTTTATTATTCTTATAATATATCTCAAGATGTTACTTTTATTCTGGTTCTCATCAACAGCGGCTAAGGATCATGCCTTCGACTCCTTCCGCGCGGCGCGCGAGGTCGGGTTCCGAGGGCTCAGGGTCTTCGAAGGGGTAGGACTGGGACATGGGGGTGTTTTGGAGGCTCCGTTAATGTAAAACAGATCATAATGATCTGTTTTACATAAACGGAGCCTCCAAAACAGCCCCATGTCCCAGTCCTTTCATAGGTCTTCCTTTGGTAGCCTTATCTAATATTTAGTACGGTAGCAACATATTTCAGACAATAGTCTCCCGAAATTGGCCTTTTGGTTATTCGTCTCCCGATATCAGCCTTTACCCTTAACCCTTAACCCGATGTTAGCCTTTCCGTCATTGTAGCGCTAAATATCAGATGAGAGGGATTCCAGGTCCGCGAGGTGTTGGGCATCAGCAGTTGCTGATCGGGCTTAAGGTTTACATAGGGTTTGGGCTTTAGGGTTTGGGGCTTAGGGCAGTTTAGGGTTTAGGGGCTTGGGGTTTAGGGCAGTTTAGGGTTTAGGATAGGATGGTTCAAAGTGGTGTCAGGACCCTAAACCCGAAACCCTATCACCTGCCCCCCCCCATCAGTTTGATGGCTTTCAGGGTTCTGGATTTGTTGGAGTGTTCCGGGTCTCCGGTTTAGGGCTTAGTCTGTATCTTGGGTTCTGTCCTGGGGCCTCGTGATCCTCGGCGTCTAGCCTGCAAGACCCCGAAGCCCCCAAACCCGACCCTGCAGCCCTTAGGCCCGTAATTTAGGGTTTAGGGCAGTTTAGGGTTTAGGGTTTAGGCTTAAATCAGTTAACCCCGGAACCCATAATAAGACCCTGTAGCCGTAGCCCAACACCCCTAAACCCTGAACCCTCCAACCCCCCGCAAAACTTGAACCCCGAAAGCCAACACCCCTAATGTAGGGGCCTTAATAACTATAATAAGGAACCCCGCAAATAGTATTCGTAATTATTTAGGCCCCTACATTAACCTCCAAGGCGCTGGCAGCGAATGCCCAGAAGTGCGAGAGCTTGCACCAAACCATCTCCAGGCCTGCTCTGATAGTAGGGTGTAGGGTTGAAAGGTTTAGGGTTTATGTTTAGGGTTTGCGTTACTAAGATCGGATCGATGAGTAATACTGTAAGCTGATAGTTTCTATCAGTTATTGTATAGTATGTTTCATAGTATAGTACTTAATCGTAGGTATACTTCCATATACCCGGAGCCTTATGCTAAGTATTGAGGCCCATATATGACAATGATTTTCGGGAAGTGTCGTGTTGTATGTGGGGGTTTTGTTGTGCGAATACCAGCAAGGGGGACCCCAATTCACATAGACACTTGGTTGCTACACACCATTTTCTGTAACGGGCTGTACCACTAGGCTCCCCATATCAATCCTTATCAACAGAGCGGGCTTCATTCATCTGGGGTGTCTATATTGGGTCTTATAGTTGGGGGTTCACCCTAAAGGCCCTAAACCCTAACCCGTAAACGTTGGCTTTCGGGTTTTCCGGTGGCTCGGGTTTCAGGTCGGGTACCTTCTCGAGTATATACGAGGGCAGTTGCTTCTCTAATTGACTTCATCGAATACCCAATTCGGCCCCTAAGCTCTAGGCACCCTCGAACCCCAAAGCCCTGAAGTGTAGTGTAGTTCTGCACGGTTTCTATAGGTGCGGAGGGTGTTGTTGCCAGGACTTCTACCAACAATCCTGGCAAACCCGCCCTAAACCCTAAACTCCCTAAACTCTACACCCTAGGCCCTAAACTCTGTGGCGAGGGGAAACATGCACTAAAAAGACCAAAACTCCAAACGCTAAGCTCTAAGTCCAAAACCCCAAGCTTGAAACCCTAAACTCCAAGCCCTAAGCCATAAATCAAAACCCTGAACCCTAAACTCTAAGCCTTACACCATATCATAGCTCAAAGCCCTAGACCCTAAACTCTAAGCCCTAAAAACCATAAAGCAACACCCTAAGCTCTAAGCCCGAAGCCCCTACTGTGCTCAGTTCACACGAGGCAGCTGTCAGATCTTCAGTCAGCTCGGCCCAACGTGGACCCCCACATCTTCAAGGAGCCCTCGTAGTAGTTTAGGGTTTAGGGTTTAGGGTTTAGGGTTTAGGGTTTAGGGTTTAGGTAGTGCCCTTAAAGGGAACGTGATTGTCGCGCCCTTAAAGGGGCCCTATGCTTAAGAAGCCATTATCGGAACTCTTACGGGTTTAGGGCCCCTAAGAACCAGAATTGAAGGCTGAAAGCCCTAAACCCCCGAGACATAAAGACTTGACTAAACCCTTAAAGAGGCACCGGAAGAGTTTCTGTCATCCGACCCCGTGTTCAGATTTTAAGGCTTACAGGGGTTGAAGATTTATTTAGGGTTTAGGGTTTAGGGCTTAGGGAAGGTGTGTTGGGTTTAAGGTATTGGATTAAGCCTTTGAAGGTTGACCTATCACGGTTTGGCTTCGGGTCTCTGTTGCGACAGATTTCTTCTGGGTTGACTATAGGTGCCTTCTAAATTACCTATGATATTTTGGGTAACAATAATAGAATATATTCCAAAACCCTATTCTGATTACTAGTTTTGGAGCCCTGTAGAAATTAAACAACCTGCACGTTGACACCGTGGGGGGGAGTCGTAGGGCAAGCTCACATAGAGAGAGACGAGCCGATGACTTCCGCGGCGGAAGAACGCAAGCACGCGATAACCCCAAATCGCCGCACCCTGAACCCTAAACGCTAACTATGCATGTACTAGCTGTATCAGTATGCCCTCAACCTATACGACCGAACAGATCCCGTTAATCCCTGGTCTACCGAGCTCCGAAGAAGACCCTGTTCGTCTTGTCTGGGGTGCCCCAAGAAGACCTAGTAACCTAGTACCGATGCCACCCTAGATACTAAGATCTTGAAAAGAAGACAGGACACCGAAAACGGGCACGCTCACTTACCAGAAGCAGGGCTGGGCATGAGCAGGATGGCTGATAGCTCCCCGTAGGTCCCTTCTTACCGTCGTAATTCCAGTAGGGATCTGTGTATCTATCATGTAACATAGTATAGCTAGAGGGAGCTATTCAGAGCCCTAAACCCTACCTAAACCCCAACAGTAGGTAAAATACTGGCCCAGACCTTATAAAGGGCGATGATTCTGCATACTTTTGGGGGTCCAGGTAAACCCTAAACCCTAAACCCTAAACCCTAAACCCTAAACCCTAAACCCTGTGGTCCCCTAAACCCCCTAAGTCCCCATAGACCCTGAACCTTCTAAGCCCCCTAAACCCTATAGATCCCTTAATATTTAGGGTTTAGGGTTTAGGGTTTAGGGTTTAATTGAGCCCTTAAAGGACAGCCCTTTGGGATTCTAGAGCCCTTGCTCTAAAGACTCACCAAGCCTTCCTGAGCCTGATCCCAGGAGAAGCTCCTGACAGCGGAGAGGCTGTATGGTGAGGTGCGCTTAGGGTTTAGGGTTTAGGGTCCTTTCTGGCAGGGCCCAAGAGTGAACCGCCCACGGTTTTGTGAGTCTGGCGTGAGCCCCGTTTGGATACTTGCGATGCCGATGAGGCTTTGGGAGTCGGGGTTTAGGGTTAAGGGGTTTAGGGTTTAGGGGTTTAGGGTTTAGAGTTCAGGGGTTTAGGGTTTAGTGTTTAGGGTTTAGGGGTCTTGGGCTGGGGGTTTGTTTTTGACTCTAGGTCAGGAGCAGGGGTTGCTGGTTGGACAAAACGTGGACCAAGTTACAGCATTCCTGATCCGAAACCCTAAGCCCGAACCGCTAAGCCCTGATCCTGAACTTGTCAACCCTAAGCCCTAAGCCCTAAACCCTAAACCCTAAGCCCTAGGCCCTAGGCCCTAAGCCCTAAACCCTAAACCCTAAACGTTTAAACCCTAAGCCCTACACCCTAAACCCTCGGCCGCACACTGGACGACAGTGGTAAAGCAGGTGAAGTCGCAGCGAGATGCCTTCGCCACGGCTGATGCAGAAGCCAAGGAGAAGACATCGAGATCACAGGTGCCTCGGATATCGTTGTGTCGGGGTTTAGGGTTTAGGGTTTAGGGGGTGTCGGGGTCTGAGTGAGTATCAATTGCAATTATCATCTGGTATTGTACTTGATGGATTCCAATATTATTGGAACAGTCCCCAACCCCTATTCACCTTATTTACTCCTGGCCTCCAAGTCAGCCGCCAGACTAGTCCGGTGCTTCTTTCGGGGAACTGCGCCTGAAAGGCTGAAAGGGTGCATTCCCTGCACAGGACGGTGTAGGGTTTCAGGGTTTAAAGAAACCCAAAGAATCCCCACATCGCTTCCCTAAGCCAAATACTCCCTGAGCCGGGCACCTTGTAACCATGACCCTGAAGCCGTACTCCCGAAGTAATGCCGATTTCCAGTGCACCTTGCCACTAACTTGGGTGGAAGTCTGTGCACGAGTAGCAAATGAACCCCAAATTCCGGCAAAGGCATCGACGGCGAAGATGAAGACGCTGACGGATGCCCTGCGAAGGCCGACATGTGTGGGTAAATCTCCCTGTTGGAGCAGGGTTGGGGATTTCAGTTCGCATACTTAATAACTATAACTACGAAACCATTAGTCTTATCATTACTCTCATTATTATGTTATTGTGATTATTATTATGGTTGTTATCCCTCTTCTTCTTATTCTTATTGATGTTCTTAGCATTAGTATTAGTCGTATTATTATTTCTATTCTGTTCTTTTTTATAATCATAACCTGGTTTGTTTTTACGCCCCCTGCATTGAGGTTGGTTTGGCTTCTGATCATTGCTGCAGCTAGGTTGTCGTGTATGCTTATGCTGGAGCCGCTTCGAGCAATCAAGGAATTAGACCAAACATCATTGAACAAACGCATCGGTTCCCGAAACCCTATAATAGGCCTAATTAAGCCCGTGCCTTCGGACAGGTATGATCAGGAATTGCAGGAGCTGCGGTCGGAAAGGAAGGACAAGGCCCCGAGAATTGAAATTGAGCGGAGTCGGGTTTCGCAGACTCTTACTCTTTGGCATCTTCCCAGGAACCAAATGGGCTCATAAGTAGGGGCCGTATAACCTTCTTCTATGAATCCCTATATGGTATATGAAACTTAAGCCCTTTCGAGGTTCACGTCGTCTTTCAGGTTTCAGAAACGGGGGATGTAGGTTCAGGCGGTTAAGGGTTTAAGACGTTTAAGGATTATCGGTTTAGTTCAGGGTGATGTTTCACTGAATGTTAACTCCATCCTTGACAACTGGATAGCTAATCTTGGCACCTGAAGCAAGTTTCTGGAGAAAAAGCGTCAAGCCTTGTCGGCGTATTCAGGCCAGGAGGCTTGTAATGCTCAGTCGGCCAAACCCTACAGCTCTAAACCCTAAAACGCCTACAGCCCTAGAGCCCCCAAGCGTACAGCCTGCTGGACGGAAGCCCCAAACTTCTAAACCCTGAGCCCTAAACCCATAAACCCTGAACCCTAAACCCTAAACCCTAAACCCTAAACCCTAAACCCCTAAACCCTAAACCCTAAACCCTAAACCCCTAAACCCCTAAACCGACGACTCCAGAAGATCTGAACAAAACAGCCAGAAGCCCAGCGCCTGAAACCCCGCGGTTCAGGGGCTTGGGGTTGAGGATTTGGGAGTTTAAGGGTTCAGGTTTGGGGTTTGGGGTTTAGGGTTTAGGGCTGGGGGTTTAGGGTTTAGGGTTTAGGGTTCAGTTTTGGGGGTTCAGGGTTCAGGGGCTTGGGGATTAAGGTTCAGGTTTGCTGTGGGTTTAGGAAGCCTACACCCCGACAGGAAAGTCTCCGAGCCTAGTGATTCCTCAAGGACAAAATGCAACCCAAAAAAGGGGTTAGGGTTCATATCACCATATAGGGGTTCATAGTATAAGCCGAAACCCTAAACCCTCCACCCTAAACAGAAATATCTAAACCTTGTAAACCCTAAACCCTAAACCCTAAACCCTAAACCCTAAACTCTACGTCTAAGGGCCCTTAGGTCCCCCGGGATCTGGTTCCCTAAGCCCTAAAACAATCTAAACCCGAAGCCCCATAGGGTTTAGGGTTTAGGGTTTAGGGTTTAGGGTTTAGGGTTTAGGGTTTAGGGGTTTAGGGTTTAGGGGTTTAGGGATTTAGGGGTTTAGTGGTTNNTTAGTGGTTTAGGGTTTAGGGTCTAGCGTTTAGGGTTTAGGGTTTAGGGTTTAGGGTTTAGGGGCGAAGCCCCACTTGTAAGGGGCCTTTGGTTCTTTCGGATCTTGGCTTCCTGTCAAGGAGACCAAGGCGGCGATGCTCAGGCAACTTGGGCACCCGGAGAGCCCAGGTTTCCTGGGGGGCTGTTTATTTAGGCTTTTGGTTTGAGGTCTAGCGTTTAACAGTTTAGGGCTTTTGGGGTGTAGGGTTTAGGGTGTGTCCAGTCTTTTTTTGTTGGGTTAGGCGGGTCAGTCGCTTTAGGACTCACCGTTCCGCACTCGCCAAATTAGTCAGGAGCTTTATATACACTCAAGTCAGCACTTGAATACATGTACTACTTTAGGTGAAGAACCCCCGACCTCAAACACGAGTACAACAGCTATGGTTTGAGAGTGGCATATGTTTGTGGCGTAAGGCTTTTGCATAGGTGGGGATTCGAAATGGTGAAGCTGCAGACGAGGCTTGTTCGTACTATCTTATCCGGACCAAATCTAGGTGCTATGCGCCGAATCCTAAACCCTCATCGTGCTGGAGCTTTTGAAACCGCTAACGTCTTTTCTCATAACATCAGCCCGGTTTATGCGACAACACATCCCCCTAAACCCTACACCATCCTCAATTTCGGGATGGGGTCTTGCGGCACCAAAACTTCAAGGTCCGAACCAAACGCCAGTCAAACTTGAAGGTGCGAAAGCCGATTCGAACAGAAGACGTGTATATGGGAGTTTCCGAAAATTTGGGTACCTTATTGTGGGGTCCTTATAATAAGGATCCTATTATTTAGGGTACTAGATTAGGGTCCCCTATTTTCGGAAACCCCCATATGGTGGGGCGAGGTGGAGTTTAGTGTTTAGGGTATTCATGTGTACTGCTTGTGACTTTCCAGGAAGGGCTCCGCGTTTTCAGACTTGGTCAGGGTGTTGGCTTCAGGTAGATGGTACCCCTTGCCAGCCACATACTTTCTTTACACAAATGTGGAAGTAGCAACCTTGACCGAACTTCCACAGTTGTTTTTCGGCCTGAATGCTCGGTCGCTGCAAAGCCTGATATTCAGCACTCAAGGAGCTTTGCCCCTGTCTTCTACGGCACAGGTCTCAGGCCAACACACCGGGTCTGGCTGATCGGAAACGGCAGGCCCTGTAGGTTGAGAGTGGTCTTAGATGCTCCGAGACTTCACAAAGAGGGCTTCTCGAGTGTCCTTGTGCAGGTTTTGCCCTCTCTGTTTGGCCTCAAATGCAACTGGAGTTTCCATCAGCAGCGACCTGTGCAATGTGCATGTGCGCGTGTCTATGCATGTGGGTAGTTCTCTAAATTAGGGTCGCAGTTTAGGTTCCCAAACTAGTACGGCACCCGTTTACAAAGGACCCTGAACCGTAGCCCAATACAGCCAAAGCAGACTCCTTGCTTTTTTGTTCCTGAACCATTATCCCAGAACCCTGTTTAAGTTGAATCCCTGAACCCACTAGCCTGTGACCCGATAAGCCCTATAACCCCGTAAGCCCAATACACCAGCTCAAAACCCTGAACCCTGAACCCTAAACCCTAAGCCCTAAACCCTAAAACCTAGAAGCCGCCCCAAATTCTATAAACCCCTAAACCCTGTGAACCCGTGAAGCCCTTGAAGTCCTTTGCACTTCGTAACCCTTATAAACCGAACCCGTTAAACCGTGCTTGATGGTCTCTTTGCAGGTCCAAGCGGGCAAGATCCCAAACCCTAAACCCTTCTAAACCCTGAACCCCATTAAACCCTAAACCCTACTAAACCCTAAACCCCATTAAACCCAAAACCCTCTTAAACCCTATACCCTAAACCCCCAAAAATATTAACCCCCCAAACCCTATTAAGCCCTAAACCCTATAAACCTTGCTTTGTGGCGTCTTTGCAGGTCCAAGAGGACATCGATCGAAACCTGGAAGAAGCCCGAGAGTTACAGGCCGGTTGCTAAGGGTTCCTTTAAAGGGGCTCCTTTATAGGGGTTTAAGGTTTAGGGTTTAGGGTTTTAGAGGGGTTTAGGGTTTAAGGGTTCCTTTGAGGGGCTCCTTTAAGGGTTCCTTTGAGGGGCTCCTTTAGGGGTTCCTGCAAGGGTGTGTTGAAGGGTTCCTTCAAGGGTTTCTGTTTAGAGTTTAGGGTTCTTTTTGGGGGTTAAGGCTTGTAGTCGGTTTCCATAACAGGTTTCTGTAAAGGTTTCTTACGGGTTCCATTTAAGGCTTTGGATTAAAGGTTTCTTGGCTTCCTTCTGCAAGGCTTCTATAAGAGTCCCTTTACAAGCGTTATACAAAGGCAATATAAGGGTTCCTGTAAGGGTCTATACCGGTTCGCTTGTAAAGGTTCTGCTAAAGGTTCTGCAACGGTTTTCTAGTTTTCTTTATGGATTACTGTACGATTCGTTTGCGGGGTTCTGAAACGGATCTAGAAGGTTTCTAACAAAGGTGTTCCGCTTTAGGGCTTTAGTGTTTTGTTGACATGGGTTGTTTAATCTGAGTTGTGTCTTAGGGTTGCGAGCTTTCGGTCCAATGCCGGCCACGTAGAGGGCCATGACGAGTCAGACTGTGGAGTGTTTATGGATCTAGGGTTTCGTTAAGGCAACAAGGTAAGCAAAGAAAGCGAGCTTTGTCACATCTAGAGTCTAGACACCCCTGTTCCGAAGGCGCATCGCCAAACCAAAACCGAAGACGCTGCGAGAGTGCGATGCCACCCCGTATGAGTCAAATGAGTATTGGTTTTCGTGAAGACAGAGACAGCGAGGGAGAGAGAGCGAGAGAGAGACACGGACAGAGAAAGAGGGACAGAGACATAGAGAGAGAGAGAGAAAAAAAAGGCGAGCGAGCGAGCGAGCAGATCTGCGAAAGTGTGCTCGAAAAAGCCGAGGTACAGACTATGAGGAACAATAACACATAATATCGCATATATTATGGCATATAATATACGTATATATATATATATACACACATATTGTATATAATAAAGTAAACAGCATATAAATGTGAAACCTTTGGGACTCCCTTCGTCCATGCTGCACGTTGGCCAGGTAGTTGGCCGCCGCGTGCAGCAAGGCCCATCTTCCCTGACTTCGGAGCCGACATAAGAATTCCAGGGCTTAGGGTTTAGGGTTTAGGGTTTGGAGGGTTTAGGGTTTAGGGTTTTTGGGTTTAGGGTTTTGGGGTTTAGGGTTTTAGGGTTTAGGGTTTAGGGTTTCATCTTCCCTGACTTCAGAGCCGACACGCGAATTCCAGGGTTTAGGGTTTAGGGTTTGGAGGGTTTAGGGTTTAGGGTTTTGGGGTTTAGGGTTTTGGGGTTTAGGGTTTAGGGTTGATTTTTGGCTCCGGCATATGATGCGCATGCTGATGTTCGTTTCTTTGCAAAAAAGCCCTGGACGAAGGAGATTTCAGCTGCCCTAGGGAGATGGAAAGCCTCGCTGGATAAGCTTCAACACCTTTCCAGCATTGGTTTAAGGGTTCAGAGGAATCGGGTATGAGGGTACTCAAAACACCTCGAAAATCACCTTTTCTGCTTCCTCAATCAATCGTCGGTTCCTGTGTGCCTCCTGCTCCACCCTAACCAATCGAGACCCCCCTAAGCCCTGTGAGCTGTAAACACGAAACCCTAAAGCATGCCAGGGGAGGATGGCTACATCTCAGCTGGGGCCTTACGGAAGAATTGACACTCAAAGCCTTAGAAGCCCAGAACCATGCAGAAAACCCTGAGATCTGGGTTTGGAGCCCCCAAACCCCAAGCCTTTTCAAACCCTCAAATACACCTTCGGATCTCTTTCTGTAGTATAGCAGACCATATACCTACCAACATTATTCCCTAGGGTACCTTGCTATACGTATACTATCTTATGTTATAAAGGAGCCCGATAACCCCGTTCTGATTATCAAGGCCCCTACATTACGTGAGTCTCCCAGTCCGGGTCTCAAGGTTTGTTGTTAAACCGACACTTGCGTGCGCATTGGGCAAGGTGTGTTGATTTGTTCTAAAATGGTTCCAATCTGCTCCCTAAACCCTAAACCCTAAACCCTAAACCCTAAACCCTTATATTACCGGCAGAGGGGGGGAGGTAGGACGTTAAGGGTCCGAAGGACCCAGAAAGTACATTGGTACTTGCGCCGGTCGCAAGGTCGAGATGCTAGCCGGAATAGGAGTTTAAGCCGAGGGTTCAGAAGCTACATCTCTTGATCGAATTAGAACTTGGGGTTTAGGCTTTAGGGTTTGGGGCCTGACGCTTTTCGGAAGACCTCGCTGCTAGGAGCCCGATTGGGGAGGTTCGCAATCAGGCATTCATATTTCTCCGGGTCTCACTACGCAATCCAAATCAAAGCCAGATGTTCATGGTTGTGGCTAAAGGATGAAAACCTGTCAGGGGCATTGTAGTAATTCTTGTAGCACCCCACAAGCGCGACCATGAACTGGAAACAGCAAACTCGAAACCCCCTTAGCCCTTAACCTTAAAACCCCAAACACTAATCTAGGACATTTTCAGGTGGGTAGTTACCGTTATAGGAGCCTTATAGAAGGTCTATATACCTTATAGATGCCTTATAGGAGCCCTATGTACCCTAAACTCCCCACCTGTAGTTTCCTTTAAACTAACCTCATGGCCTGAGCCCTACAACTTACAAATCCCAAACTCCTCGAATCTGAGGAGGGGCAAAGCAGAGAGTCAAAGATCTCTGAGCTCACCGCCAAGCTGAACGAGCCTCGCTTCCACTTTGGCGGGGTAGTAGGTAGACGCCTGAAGGTAGAACCTGTGTTGGATAGCGAAAGTATGTTTTTGGGTCCTACGACGAGATTCTAGGGCGCCCTTCCTGAAGTCCAAGTTTGTGTTTTGGGTCGTTGGGCAGGGCTTGTTCTCCGGCTCTGGCCTCATGCATCCTTGACTGCTTGTGAGGAATTGAAACGCCACCATCAGACGCTCCTGCAGAAGCAGAAGGACTTGCGTGCAGAACCCATGCTAGAAGTCAACGTGTCCGCTCGCCCCGTGAGTTTTGTAACACACGGTTTAGGGTTTAGGGTTTAGGGTTTAGAGTTTTGTAGCCTTAAGAGGCCCCAAGCTCTCAGGCGAACCACTTGTCGTGTGGCAAAAGCCCTAAACCCCGAAGCCCCGAGACATTAAATCCAAAGCCCCAAATCTCCCAAAGCCACATGCCCTATCTGCCTAATGTAGGGGCAGAATCGGGTTTTGGGGGCCCATAATACTCTGATCATGATAAGGAACCCCCAAAATAGTATTGGTAATTAATAAGGCCCCTATATTAACCGACTCAGATCTTGAAAGATACTGCGTGGGAGGAGCTGGATATCGACCCCGTTGATCTGGGGAATCGAGCGGAGAAGCCAGGGCCCAATCAAACTCTCGGCAACCTCCGGGTTTCCGAATTGGTTCAAAGTTCAGGGTAATGAGGGTTGAGGTTTGAGGGTTTGGGGTTTTAGGGTTTGCAGGGTATGGTTTAGGTGTAGGGTTTAGGGTTTGCACGGTATGGTTTAGGTTTAGGGTTTAGGTTTAGGGTTTGCAGTGTATTGGGTTTAGGAGTTATTTAAGGGCAGGGTATACAGGCTACAGAATGTTAAAAAGGCCCGCCGGGTCGAGGGAGGTCGGTGGGCACTTGACGAGATCTGGTCTCTTGTGGTGTGGCTTCAGCACTGGGACTGATGATTATTCCGTTTCGAAGGACCATAGGGTTTAGGGTTTTGGGTTTAGGGGTTTAGGGTTTAGGGTTTGGGGGTTTAGGGGTTTAGGGTTTTGGGGCTTAGGGTTTAGGGTTTAGGACCAGTTTGTGTGCTAAAGCTATAGGGTGTTGATGCAGGGGGTTCTCTTCAAAACCTATGCCTCTGCGAGCCTTCAAGCCTTCACGCTCAGGACCATGAAGCCTCAAACCCTGTGGGCTCAAGTGCCCCACTCCCCAGAGAACCCAACACCCCTTAAATTAGGGAATATACCTTAACTCATAATATTAAGGACCCTATAATTTGAGGTATATTCCTTAATTCAGGGGTATTGGGTTCTCTGGGTCTTGCATACCCTTGAAAAAATCATGTTCAGAATGCTCCGGCTCCTAAGGCCGAACGCCAGAACCCGATACCCACCAACAGAAGCATCTACACGTCCTATGAACCCTAAACCCTATAAACCCTAAACCCATCCTATGAACCCGCTATAGACTTGGACCCTGAACTCTCAGGCCCTGAACTTGCAACCTTACACCCCCAAACCCACGCGAAGTGCATGCTGACCCTTAAACCCTGGCAAAAAACAAAGTATCCCATCACAACCCCATGAAGATCCCATTCAAACCGCAGAAAATCCGAATAGAACACTTGGGGAAGTTTGATCAAGCCTTGCAAAAACCTTGTAAAGCAAACCCTATAAACCCCAGAATCCGAAACCCTGAAACCCGAAGCCCTGAACCCTGAAACCCTGAAACCCTGAAACCCTGAAACCCTGAAACCCTGAAACCCTGAAACCCTGAACCCCTAAACCCCAAGCCCTGAACCCAAAACCCTGAACCGTAAGCCCTGAACCCTAAGCCTT